AGTTTCTTGATCTACATCAGAAAATCGAACACGAAAAGGCCACGTCGAGCCATTTCAGCTTTCATGCCCATGTGCGCTTGGCTTCTTCCACTGGTTACTCTTATGCGAGCAAATTCTTTTTCTCTATGAGGTAAAATGATTTTTTTTATTCAGGTTATTTATTTTTTATTCTCCTTCTCTATGAGGTAAAATGATTTATTTTTTATTCAGGTACCATAGCCAAGTAAAAACTCATTACAGACTGGCACCGTACAAAACGGCCAAGTTGGAAGCGCCAACCAATGAAGTTGCCCTGAAACGCCACTAAAACTATTTTTTCAATGCGGGAATTCAGACAGTGAGGAGCGCGACAGAGGGACAAAAGGTATGCCAGCTTCAACAGATGATTCTTGTCACTCATAGCGCTGCCATCAAAAGTTGAGAAACGCTTGTCCTCACCTTGCTTCAAGTACTTCTCGCAAAGCTTTCCAACCACAGCAGCACCAATACTGTCCCCGTGCACGTTTACGGTGGTACGAATTCTATCCAGAAAGAAGTCAACTGGGAATATCAAAATGAACAGGTTTGACGGCAGTCCAATTGCAATCAATACCATGATCATTGTTACAATTCCTTAAAGAAAGTTTTATGTATGCAGGATAGTTAATGGTAATAAGTATACAGAATATTAGTGATAATTGGAAATTAGACGCAATTTTTCGTAGTCACACACCTGCCTGTGGAATACCAGCAGCTCCAATGCTGGCTAATGTTGCGGTCAAGCTGAAATTGAAGGATGAACTTCGGTTTATCGTCTGTTACAGTACTTTTTGTCGACTGATATGCTCTTAGCTTCTCTTATTTTGAGTTACTTCTCGAAGCTAAGGAATTTGGGCACTCATGTCCTCAACGGGACATTCAAAACAGGGCCGACGGCAGGTGAGACTAGGACTAACCAGTAAAGGTCATTAGGCCAACCCGGCCAAATGGAATGAGATGCACATTTGTGTACGCAACATGAGAC